ACTGATACGTCCCATGAATAGGATAAAACAATGTAATGATACAGATCAGGGTTGGCCAACTCTGACCTGTGGGCCAAATCCAGCCTGAGGCCTCTTTTTATATGGCCTGTGGGCTAAGAAATCCTTCTTACAATTTTAAACGGTTGCAACAAATGGAAAGCAGCCTATTTCGTGATGCATGAAAGTGATGCACAATTCAAATTTCAGTGTGCATGAAGTTTTCCTGGAACGCAGCCACACTCTACGTGATCTGCCCTGGCTATGTCTCCAACCTCCGGAAGTACAGCTCTGGCCTCCGCTCTCCCGGCTGCAGCCACACGGGCCCCTCCGCACGGCCACTGCACAAAGTGGCCTCTGCCTCCCTCACTTCCTCCAGGGTTCTGCACAAAGGAAACGGAATCAGAGAGGTCTCCCCCGGACCCATCCCTCTGTGTCTCCGCCCCCTCCTTGATCCTCTTCATGGCACTTTTCACCCGTCACACGTGGAATGTGAGTTCCATGAGAGTTGAAACACTGCCTTATTTCCTGCTGCATTCGACACAGTATGTGCTCAATAAATAGACAAATGAATTGTCAGATGTTGGCAAGTTCTAAGGAGAGGCAAGGGGAGCCTTTAAGAACAGGACATCACAACCAGTCAAGACTTTCATGATGCAGGGGGGCCTCAGAGTGCCTTTGATTTATAATGTCCTAGTATCTTGGTAGAGACTATAAGATCTAGTGGTAAGACAGAGAGAAAAGAGGACTTCTGGGCTTCCCTGGTGGTGCAGTGATTAAGAATCCGCCTGCCAATGCAGGGACACAGGTTTGAACCTTGGTCCGGGAAGATCCCACATGCCGCGGAGCAACTAAGCCCACACGCCACAACTACTGAGCCTGCGCTCTAGAGCCCACGAGCCACAACTACTGAAGCTTGCACGCCTACAGCCCTCGCTCCACAACAAGAGAAGCCACCGCACCGCAGTGAAAAGCAGCCCCCGCTCACCGCAACCAGAGAAAGCCCGCGCACAGCAACGAAGACCCAACACAGGCAAAAATAAATAAATAAATACATTTATATAAATTTAAAAAAAAGGGGACTTCCCACCATAAAAGCAACCTAAGAAGAAATAGGGAGATTGGGATTGACATGTACACACTGCTATATTTAAAATAGATAACCAACAAGGACCTACTGTATAGCACAGTGAACTCTATTCAATATTATGTAATGACCTAAATGGGAAAAGAATCTGAAAAAGAATAGATACACGTATATGTATAACTGAATCACTTTGCTGTACGCCTGAAACTAACACAACATTGTAATCACCTATTCTCCAATACAAAATACAAAGTTAAAAAAAAAAAAGAAATGTCTCATCTCACCTCATCTCAATCACTTTCCCAGTTGTGGATAGTTTCCCGCCCTCTCTGTTAATCTCAAGTGGTGGGAAAGAGCTGAGCTTAGAAATGTGCTCAGAAACAATTTACTGTCACTTGTGTCCCTCTTCCTCTAGTACCTCTAGGCCACTGTGGGAATGATAAAGGTGCCTGGGAGTTCCAGATCGTCCTACGTTACACTCTACATGGAAGCATCCGTGTGTCCAAATACTGCATTTTCATTCCATAAATTGTCTTTATAAGACTGTCCGAAGAGCAGTTCCTTAATGAAACTCACTCAACATGCAGTTTTAATGTGATTTTTTTTTCTAGAGCTTTTAGGGGTCTATACTAAAGGCTAATCCGCCAAGTCCAAATCAGGTGGTTGTTTTTTTTTTTGGCCACACCATGCGGCCTGTGGGATCCTAGTTCCCTAACCAGGGAGTGAACGTGGGCCTTGGGCAGTGAGAGCACAGAGTCCTAACCACCGGACCTCCAGGGAGTTCCCCAAATCAGGGGTTTGTAAATTGAACAATAAGTCATACAGGGAAGTAGTATATTCAAGCCACAAGATACAGAGGGTCCTACTGTACCCTGAATAGCAACAATAGGCTAAAGTGATACAAGCTTCAACCACCAGTTAAGGAGAGAAAAGATCTGTGTACAGAAGCATGTAATGCAACGCATTCACCTATAAGGTCATAAATGAAGAAGAAATTAATGGAAAACAGTTCACATGTATTTTGTGCCAAGGATGATGCCGGATACGAAAGTGGGCACGAGCTCGTTGGGCCATCTGACTAGCAACGAAGTCAATGGACTTCCCTGTGCATGACCGTAGGGAGAGCAGTGGGGGCGGGTCTGCTTCCTGGAATTAAATATGGAAGGTGCATCTTAGTCCTTGTTATTCAATTCCCTTTAGAGACAATTTCAGGAGAAGGCAAGTGACACAAAGGTTATGAAGTCTCGTGAGCCATGTGGCTTCTCACGGTACTTAGAGGTGTCCCACATTCCTGTGGATCTTGGATTTATTCCAGTCTCAGGCTGAGTTTGAACGACTCCACCACTCAGCAACAGTCTTCCATCACTGAAGTGCTGAAAGAGGGGGCTGAAAGGTCGTGTGGGGACGAAGGAGACAAATTCCGTCAGAGAAGAGTGGGGCAAACCTCCAGGACCCGGAATTAATCCCTCATCACTCTCCTGGTATGTCTGCATCAGTGACTTTGAAAAGATTTATGGCAATGGCTTCCCCTAGTGACTTAAGGAGGTGCCAAGATTCCTGGTGACAAGCAATGCTTATCAAATACACCAGAAACAGTGCTGGCCAGAAGGTCGATGTGAATGACAGGACAGTGAGGTTGCAGGTATTTATTTCTCAAACGCCCAGAATGTCCACACTATTGTACTCAGCGCTGTCACATACAGACGTGAGACTATGTGGATGGAGCATCCCAGAGTTGTGCAGTGCACGCGCTGTGCAACTGTATATGACTACCCCAACATATATAAAAGCTGGAGAAAACAGACACAGAAATAAATCCCATATCTAGGTGGTTAATCTGATTATACTAGTGAGCCAGAAAGAGGCACTGGGTTAATCTTATTTCTAGAAGAAAACACGTTCTGCTTAGATTGAAAAACTTAGCAGCTAAACAGTATGCACAGTAGATCCGAGTTGAGATTTTCCAACAGACTTATCTCAGTTCACAAATTCCATGCACTACTGACCCCAAACAGCTGTCCTAAGTACAGCTGGCAAGACTAATGAAATCAGGATGCCTTACACTCAAATGGCTTTGAGAGCAATTGTGCAGGGTACTGGTAGCCTTTTGCATGGTTACTGCAGGAAAAAAAATGTTTACAGACTCGTGTAACTGTACGAGAGGCACTGCTAGTCTAAGCTGAAAAAATAGGAGAATGTTCAAGGCTAGAAAGTGACCACTGTGGGGGAAGGGCAGCCTCGTGATAGAATTGGCATCGTTGCCATCCTTTTGGGAAAAGAGGTGGTTAGAAGAGGGGAGGGTGGAGAGAAGAACACGCTCACGGACCTACCACCAAGGAGGACTCTGGACACGTCTTATAATAAATGAAACATTTTTATCTCAAAATGCACATAATACATTCATATCCCAGTGTCCAAACCATTACCATCTTGAATATGCTTTCATACTCAATTTTGATTTAAACAAGAAGAACATTAACATTAAGAAACACAAATCTTCTTGGATTTTTCTCTTAAGAAAAAGTTACGGGGGAAAAGAAAATGTATAACAACCAATATGATATACCTCCTTAGCCCTCACCACCCACTCGTACCTACGCCCGAACTTCTGTTTAACTGTACGCAAGCCTTTCCTTCGCATCGGAAAGATTTAATTGAGCCAGGGGCTGGGTGGACTTAACAACAGCTGAACAGCCTGAAAAGCCTTACTTACTTCAAACAAGTCTGATTTTTTTTTCTCCTGTCCCCTAGGCTCAAAATGAGATTCCCTTTTACCTGCGATCTGGCATCGAGATCCCACATCCAGGCTGGTGGCAATGAAGTGGAGCTGAATGACGGTGATCTCTCTCGTGTCCGTTAGGAATTTGGAAAGTTAGAAAGGTGTCGCTTGTTGGGCAAGGTGACTCTCTACCCCTAACACAGAGTTCAACCTTCGCAGAAATACTGTGTATCTCTTTCTGTAGTATAAGTACATCTGTGCTTTATACATAAGAGTAAGACGTTTTCACCCCCAAGGACCAATTTTCCCCTGTTGGGGGCGACATCACCCTTGTTGAAAATGCATTTCCTAACGACAGCTACAAAAACTCAAGTCCACTTTGATTGTTCACGGCCAGCAATTCCAAAATCAATAATGATTTAGCACCACTTCAGTCAAAACAATTATATCTGAATCATTTTCAAAATCAAAAGGTGAGGAAAACAGTATAGTCTATGAAATACAATAAAACTGGGCGAAATAGTGCTCAGTCAGTAACATCCCAGTTAATCTTTTTCATTACTCTCAACTCATTAGGCTCTATCTGACGCTTGCTCATAGAATCAAAGATTTGATTATGGTTGAGTTTTACACACGTTTCAAAAAGCAAAGGACCAAAACGACTTCAGAGAAAAGATTTTTCTAGATGGTGGCAACGGGTAATTTGGAAAACCAGATAGAAAACATCTGTAGAAAGCATGGCAGTTTTCAGTTTACAGAAGAAATTAACTAACTAAACTAGCTCACAGATGACCTGAAAATAAACAGCACCCAAAGTTATCTGTGTGATAAAAACAAGAATGCTTCATGAGAAAATCACTGTGGTACAGCAGAAAGTAACACAACCTTGTAAATCTATTATTTGTTTCAAATTAAAAAAATCACTGTGCTATCTGCACATACAGTTGAGGGGAAACTTTCATGTCCTATTACATCTCCAAAAGCCCCTACCCCCAGCGTTTTCAAAAACTCATGGCAAGAATCTTAGTAAGCCTAAGAAACAGAATACTCATTAACAAGTACAGAATATATCCTGGCCACTACGAGGAGTGTTATGCATTTTTATATTGTCTCAAAAATAGTGGCAGAAAAGAAAGTACATCCTTTGTATAAGCCAACTTAAAAATCTGCATCACATGAAAAATTGAGCTCACCTACCTTCACTGGTCCATGTTCATAACTGGAGCTCTGCACCAACTGCAGAGAAGACATCATGAAAATATTCACCATTGCCCACTGTCTGTACATTTTGAATATTCTAATATCCACTGATTACCAAGCAGTTGACCTCAGGCAGCTAGAGCAAACTGGTTCAAAAGGCATTCTCCAGAAGGAAAGTTCGAAACCCCAGGAGTTCACAGGGAAAAACAATCAGTTGTGATCAAAATCAATTAGTCAAGGTACGTTTCTGCACAATCTTATGGGGGGGGAGAGAACAGAAAAAAAGTTTAAATGTTCGTACGCTCCAAAAATAATCAGGAAGTGGAAATGTCTTCTACTTGAAATGAGAAGGCCTCTAAGTCCATTTCATTTCCAGCAAACTAAAAAAAAAAAAATCTTCCCCCGCGCTATGCCCCAGGTTTGAGTTGTTTTAGAAGGAGGTGGTTTGGCCACCAGTGTTTGCAGCTACAGAAGGCCGGGACCCAGTTGTGGATTCAAACTTTTTTCACAACCCTCATGGAAGCTTGCAGGAGCATGTGTCTTAAATCTGACACAGATTTTGGCAGAAAAAACAGGGAAGTCTTGGCCGTAATCCTGTCGTGTCCCTACCAATAGCAGGGCAGTTTTGAAAACTGACTGAAACGCTCAGAACTGCTGTTACTTTACCCACGCAGATAACCTGTAACATGAAACCCCAGCACATAGGCATCAAAATTGCGCTGCTCAGAAAGAGACCTCAGATGCTCACGCACCTCCATCAGTGACACACAGAGAGTAATCAAATGTGCTTTAAAAAACACACAGGCACAAAGATGACAAAATATCCACATGCCCATGAAAAGGAAAACATAGACAAAATAATTTTTTTAACAGAAGTAACTTAGATTGAAATGAAGAACACTGATTTTTAAAGAAGCAACAATTAGGTTCATTTGCTTGGGCCAGGAAGTATCTCACAGACATTGCTATAGAAAACATGTCATCACTTGAGTGTGGAATTCTCTTTTTTTTTTTTTGCGGTACGCGGGCCTCTCGCTGCTGTGGTCTCTCCCGTTGCGGAGCACAGGCTCCGGACGCGCAGGCCCAGCGGCCACGGCTCACAGGCCCAGCCGCTCCGCGGCACGTGGGATCCTCCCGGACCGGGGCACGAACCCGTGTCCCCTGCATCAGCAGGTGGACTCTCAACCACTGCGCCACCAGGGAAGCCCAGAGTGTGGAATTCTTTAGAAGCACTGGTGAAGTCAGCTTTGGAAACTGGATGCACTGAACGGGTGGATGCCACAAAGGGCAAAATTCTAGAAGGCAGCCAGACCTGCCCTTGTGCTTGTCACCAGTTTCCAATCTTTGATTTCCAGGTTTTGGCTCTTTCAAAGCCGTTTTTCGCATTTCTGAAATCAAGAATGGCCTGAGAAATCTCTTCATCTGTGTTCATCACAAATGGACCTAGAGCAGAAAGAGACATTCCGAAAGTTCTGGGTGACGAGAATATTTTCTTCTATCATGAAAATGGTATGTATTTCTGTAGTTCTTAATTTGAGACAAACTCAGGCATATCTGAACAGCAGAAGGTTATTTTTGCAGCATCCAGTCTCCGAGGACTGTAATACAAGTTTCTTGACTACGATTGTGTATGATTATAAAGACCAAATTTCAGATAAACAAATGCAATTATATCTCACTCATTCATTGCAGGCTGTCATCAGCAATGGCAATCTCTTTATTCAAAACATTCTTAGGTTTGGTTCTATTACAACCAGTTTTGTAGCTGTTAGTTCTTTTTATCTTTATTTTTTATTGAGGTATAAATGACTTACAGCATTATAATAGTTTCAGGTGAACAATATAGTGATTCAATATTTGTATATATTGGGGAATGATCGTCACAATAGGTCTAGTTAACATCTGTCACTATACATAGTTACATAAGTTTTTTTCTTGTGATGAGAACTTTTAAGATTTATTGTAGTTGTCAGTTGCACTAGCATTGGCTGATGTCAAGAATTTAACTGATCTGATTTTTTAAATTGGCAAATCTTGTCACAGTGTTGGTATCTCCACAGTATATGAGGCTGTGTCCTTGCATGAGGGGTCTAAGTCATTTTTGACAATTAGTAGCATCTCACTGACAATAAAAAGGAGATTATAAAAATTTCAAGTCAAGAAAGCATCACATTTTGGATTCTCTAGGGGTCAGTGCACTTTTCCTGTAAAGGGCCAGACAGTATATATTTTAGATTTTGTGGGTCAAACGGTGTCTGTCTCAACTACTCAACTCTTCTGCTGAAGCGCAAAGCAGCCACAGACAATACAGAAGTGACTAGGGATGGCTGTGTTCCAATAAAACTTCATTTACAAAGACATGCAGTGGACAGATTTGGCCCATGGTCACAGTTTGTCTAATTCCTAGGGCTGAACTTGGCATTTGCTAAAAGTGTAGAAGTCTTCCCCTAATCGACCAGGAGGCAAAATGTCTGCCTCTTCCCTCTCTTCACAAACTGTAGGAGCATCCACCTGTTGGATAAACGAGGCCAGCTCTTATATGGCATTGGCAGTGCTTGAAAGCGGTTGACAGATTTGTCCATTCGGTCAGTATATTTCTCCCCCCAGTCTTCAGAGGTGCCGTCAGGAACCTTTTACGAAGTGCCTCCTCTAAGAGGCTTTCTCTGAGAGACCCGGATTAAAGTATCACTTAAAACTTGGAATAACACAGGCAAACTTCTTAACCACTCTTGGCGTTATCAGCACAGATTCGGCACCCACTTTAGCGCTTGAGAAGGAAGACCCAGGATCACATGCTTTGATGATGCTGAGGCACTTTCGGGAGATTGTAGGGAATAGGATGGCAAGAGAAAGGGAAAACAGGTAGCAGGTGTGTAAATTCATTCATTCACTCAATGACCTATCTATCCAGGATTTATTGCACGCTTATCAAATGACGAACATGGTGCTAGGAGCTAGAGATATAAAGCTGAAAGACAAATTAATGACAGACTCCCTCCCCTCAAGGACCTCAAATCTATAACACAAACAGATACGAAAACAAATTATTACAAAACAGTGTGATAAACAGAATGATAAAAGTATGGAAAATGCAAAGAATCAGCACAGAAGGGGAGAAGGAGGTGATGCCTGCACTGGCAGACGTGGCGGAACGGCGTTTTCGGGACCGGCCTGCAGAAGGACGTGAGGGTGCGGAAAAGGAGGAGGGTGGAGTCTGATATGAGCAAGAGGCCCGAGCCCTCTGGGTTTTGGACGCCATCTATGGGAAGAAGTTTGGACATAATTCTGCAGGTGATCTGGAATCACTGAAGGGTTAAGGACAGAACAATGTGATCTGATCTGCAGTTTTTAGAAGAAGACTTTGGCATCAGGGTAGAGAAAATGCCTGGCCTGGGAGGCTGAGTTGATGGTGCAATTGTTTAAGGGTAACTGAGACACAGGACACAGGAAGCTGTGGGTAGAGCAAGGAACTCAGTCCTGGATATTCTGACATGAAGGCGCTGGAGACAATCAGATAGCTGCCTGGCAGAGGTGCTCGGTACATTGTTGGAAATAGGGGTCTGGGGCTCGCAAGACATATTTCACCTGGAGATGGAGATGTGGACTGTACTAGGTAGGAAACAATGAGAGAGCCCTCATGTGCAAAAACAATCGTAAATCCAAGAGGGTATCCTGGAAAAGCCACCATTTTAAAGGACGCAGAGGGGAAAGGGAGATGGAACAGAGAAAACGAGAGCAGGTACTGGGCCAAGGACTGACTTCCTGCACGTCATAATTTTGCTATAGATGAGACTTGCGGAGCACCTCTCCCCTCCCTCAATTACTTTTCTGTACAAACAGTACACTTCCGGGCTTCCATCTTGACACTTCTCTGGGGTATTCTGCTGTGATCACGTGGGAATCTTATTAACATGTATATTCTGAGTCATGAGGTCTGGAGTGGGGTCTGAAGCTCTGCATTTCTAACTATCTCTCCAGTGATGCCAATGCTGCTGGTCCATGGACCACTTTGAGAAACAAGGGAAGCGTTGGAAGTGTGAGCCCTCCAAAGCCAAGGGGAGGAAGCTCATCTCCTCAAATCCTCCAGAAGAAAACTGAAGCCAGAAAGTATATGTTTTTGTTTTTCTTCTTTTTTTGGGGGGGGTAATATATAACTAAATTAATTAATTTTTTTTTTGAAATTGAGGTATAACCAACATACAGCATTATATTAGTCTCCAGTGTACAACGTAATGATTTCGTATTTGTATATACTGGGAAATGATCGCCATAATAAGTCTAGTTAACATCTGTCACCATACACAGTGACAGAATTTGTTTTCTTGTGATGAGAACTTTTTTTTTTTTTTTTTTTGTGGTACGCGGGCCTCTCACTGTTGTGGCCTCTCCCGTTGCTGAGCCCAGGCTCCAGACACACAGGCCCAGCGGCCATGGCTCACGGACCCAGCCGCTCCGTGGCATGTGGGATCCTCCCGGACCGGGGCACGAACCCGTGTCCCCTGCATTGGCAGGCGGACCCCCAACCACTGCGCCACCAGGGAAGCCCCCGATGAGAACTTTTAAGGTCTATTCTCTTAGCAACTTTCAAATATGCAGTACAACGTTACTGACTATCATCACCATGCTGTACATTACTTCCCCCAGAAAGCATGTTTCTTAATTGAACAAGAAAATTATTTGCTAGTTATCAATAATCCCACAAATCCTCTTTTAAACTACACTGTTCATCCCTTCTCTAATTAAAGCTTTGAATTCCCTCCCTCTCCTGTAATAAAAATGGTGTGAGTTGAATCTCTCATTGTGTAGAAACTTCCTATAGTGGAGAGAGCACAAGACAAGGGTTTAGGAGACTAGGGTTCAAATCCCAGCTCCACCACCAACAATTACTTCCCAGCAGAGAAGCCACAGGGCAGAGCAAGGGGCAACCAGGCACAGTGAGAGGCGGAAGGGCAGGGTGGTTAGAAACCAGACAGCCTCAGTGTGAATCCACCTATGTGGCCAACAAACCTCTGCACCTCCGCTTCCTCATCCATAAAGTGGGGATGAGAGTACCTACCCTGTCAGGTTGTTCTTAAGCTTAAATGAATTAATATTTGGAAAGCACTCTGACCAATCCTAGTAGACAGTAAATGCTGCCGAGATATCTGTTATGTAAATAAGTGGAACATCTGGATTCCGTTTTCCTCAACAACTAGTACTGGTTCCCAAATAGTCGAGAGATGGCTGTGGTGGCCCTCAAACATGCACAGGTAAAAGAAAAACTTAAACGTCTGGGTTTGAAAGAGTTAGCAAAATAAAATTAATAAATAAAACGAACAAGCAGAATGCTTTGCCTCTCATTAGCTGAGGTTTCAGGGGCCATCTCTATGTTGTCTGGTTAATCCGAATTTGTGTGTGCTGGCACACCCAGTGTCCCCGAGTTGCAAGCCTCTGGGAGAAAATTCACAGGGGATGAATGTCGCCTGTTGTAGTTGGAGTCTTGGTTTTCATCACTGATGCAGAGGACATCGCTTAACTGAAAAGGTTTCCATCCCACACATCTTTTTCCCACCTAAATTCTAGCTGCTATTAATAAAGATGATGACCCTACTCAATCTGTCGGCAGGCTTCTTCCAGAAGAACAAACTATTTCAGGGCTGTTCAACCAAAAGAAAATGACAACTATGAACCTTTGGAGTGGAAATCAGAAGTCCGCAAAATGGAGTCAAACGCTATGGGCTAGGTGGAGTATAATTTAATGCTTTTCCCTGAAGCTACTAATAAAACAAAATAGACTATTTTAAAAATAATCAGTGCTCTATAGACCAGATAGATCTAATTGATATTTACAGAACATTCCACCCAAAAGTGGCAGAATACACTTTCTTCTCAAGTGCACATGGAGCATTCTCCAGGACAGATCACATCCTGGGTCACAAATCAAGCCTCAGAAAATTTAAGAAAATTGAAATCGTATCAAGCATGTTTTCTGACCACAACGCTATGAGAATGGAAATCAACTACAGGAAAAAAAACTATAAAAAACACAAATACATGGAGGCTAAACAGTGTGCTACTAAATAACCAAGGGATCACTGAAGAAATCAAAGAAGAAATTAAAAGATACATAGAAACAAATGACAACAAAAACACTACGACCCAAAACCTATGCGACACAGCAAAAGCAGTTCTAAGAGGTAAGCTTATAGCAATACAATCTCACCTCAAGAAACAAGAAAAATCTCAAACAACTTAACCCTACACTTAAAACAACTAGAGGAAGAACATATGTATATGTACAGCTGATTCACTTTGTTATAAAGCAGAAACTAACACACCACTATAAAGCAACTATACTCCAAAAAAGATGTTAAATAAATAAATAAATTAATTAATTAATTAATTAAAAGGTCCAACTAAAAAAAAAAAAGAACAAAGAAAACCCAAACTCAGTAGAAGGAAATAAATCATAAAGATCAGAGCAGAAAAAAACGAAACAGAAATGAAGAAAATAATAGCAAAGATCAGTAAGACTAAAAGCTGGTTCTTTGAGAAGATAAACAAGATTGATAAACCCACAGCCAGACTCACCAAGAAAAAAAGGAAGAGGACACAAATCAATAAAATTAGAAATGAAAAAGGAGAAATCACAACTGACACTGCAGAAATACAAAGGATTATAAGAGACTACTACAACTATATGCCAATAAAATGGTCAACCACGAAGAAATGGACAAATTTTTGGAAAGGTACAATTTTCCAAGACTGAACCAGGAAAAATTAGAAAATATAAACAGACCTAACACAAGTAATGAAATTGAAACCGTAATTTAAAATCTTCCAACAAACAAAAGCCCAGGACCAGATGGCTTCACAGGCAAATTCTATCAAACATTTAGAGAAGAGCTAACACCCATCCTTCTCAAACTCTTCCAAAAAAATTGCAGAGGGAGGAACACCCCCAAATTCATTCTATGAAGCCACCATCACCCTGATACCAAAACCAGAAAAAGATATCACAAAAACAGAAAATTATAGACCAATATCACTGATGAACATAGATGCAAAAATCCTGAACAAAATGCTAGCAAACAGAATCCAACAGCACATTAAAAGGATCATACACCATGAACAAGTGGGATTTATCCCAGGGATGCAAGGATTCTTCAATATATGCAAATCAATCAATGTGATACAAAACATTAACAAATTAAGGAATAAAAACCATATGATCGGGCTTCCCTGGTGGCGCAGTGGTTGAGAGTCCGCCTGCCGATGCAGGGGACACGGGTTCGTGCCCCAGTCCGGGAAAATCCCACATGTCGCGGGGCGGCTAGGCCCATGAGCCATGGCCCCTGAGCCTGTGCATCCGGAGCCTGTGCTCCGCCACGGGAGAGGCCACAACAGTGAGAGGCCCGCGTACCGCAAAACAAAAACAAACCAAACAAACAAAAACAACAAACAAAAAAACATACGATCATCTCAACAGATGCAGAAAAAGCTTGTGACAAAATTCAACACCCATTTATGATAAAAAAAAAAAACTCTCCAGAAAACAGGCATAGAGGGAACCTACCTCAATATAATAAAGGTCATATATGACAAACCCACAGCAAGCATCATACTCAATGGTGAAAAACTGAAAGCATTTCCACTAGGATCAGGAACAAGACAAGGGTGCCCACTCTCGCCACTACTATTCAACATAGTTTTGGAAGTCCTAGCCACAGCAATCAGAGAAGAAAAAGAAATAAAGGGAATACAAATTGGAAAAGAAGAAGTAAAACTGTCACTGTCTGCAGATGACATGATACTCTACATAGAAAATCCTAAAGATGCCACCAGAAAACTATTAGAACTAACCAATGAATTTGGAAAGGTTGCAGGATACAAAATTAATGCACAGAAATCACTGGCATTCCTATACACCAACAATGAAGAAACAGAAAGAGAAATTAAGGAAACACTCCCATTTACCATTGCAACAAAAAGAATAAAATACCTAAGAATAAACCTGCCTAAGGAGGCAAAAGACTTGTACTCAGAAAACTATAAAACACTGATGAAAGAAATCAAAGATGACATAAACAGATGGAGAAACATACCATGTTCTTGGATTGGAAGAATCAATATTGTGAAAATGACTATACTACCCAAAGCAATCTACAGATTCAATGCAATCCTTATGAAACTACCAATGGCATTCTTCACAGAATTAGAACAAAAAAATCTTACAATTCGTATGGAAACACAAAAGACTCCTAATAGCCAAAGCAATCTTGAGAAAGAAAAACGGAGCTGGAGGAATCAGGCTCCCCGACTTCAAACTATACCACAAAGGTACAGTAATCAAGACAGTATGGTACTGGTACAAAAACAGAAATATAGATCAGTGGTACAGGATAGAATGCCCAGAGATAAACCCATGCACATATGGTCACCTAATTTACGTCAAAGGAGGAGGCAAGAACATACAGTGGAGAAAAGACAGCCTCTTCAATAAGTGGTGCTGGGAAAACTGGACAGCTACTTGTAAACGAATGAAGTTAGAACACTACCTAACACCATACACAAAAATAAACTCCAAATGGATTAGAAACTTAGATATAAGACCAGACACTATAAATCTTTTAGAGGAAAACCTAGGAAAACCACTCTTTGACATACACCATAGCAAGATCTTTTTTGACCCACCTCCTGGAGTAACAGAAATAAAAACAAAAATAAACAAATGGGACTTAGTTAAACTTAAAAGCTTTTGCACAGCAAAGGGAACCATAAACAAGACAAAAAGACAATCCTCAGAATGGGAGAAAATATTTGCAAATGAAACAACAAAGGATTAATCTCCAAAATGTACAAACAGCTCATGGAGCTCATTATCAAAAAAACAAACAATCCAGTTAAAAAATGGGCGGAAGACCTCAATAGACATTTCACCAAGGAAGACATATAGACGGCCAACAGGCACATGAAAAGATGCTCAGCACCACTAATTATTAGAGAAATGCAAATCAAAACTACAATGAGGTATTACCTCACACCGGTCAGAATGGCCATTATCAAAAAAGCTAGAAACAATAAACGCTGGAAAGGCTGTGGAGAAAAGGGAACCCTCCTACACTGTTGGTGGGAGTGTAAATTGATACAACCACTATGGAGGTTCCTTAAAAAACTAAAAAAAACCTGCCATATGACCCAGCAATTCCACTACTGGGCATATACCCTGAGAAAACCGTAATTCAGAAAGAGACATGCACCACAATGTTCACTGCAGCACTACTTACAATAGCCAGGACATGGAAGCAAACTAAATGTCCATCGACAGATGAATGGATAAATATGTGGCACGTATATACAATGGAATATTTCTCAGCCATGAAAAGAAATGAAACTGAGTTATTTGTAGTGAGGTGGAGGGACCTAGAGTCTGTCATACAGAGTGAAGTAAGTCAGAAAGAGAAAAACAAATACTGTATGCTAACACATATATATGGAATCTAAAAAAAAAAATGGTACTGAAGAACCTAGTTGCGAGGCAGGAATAAAGATTTAGACATAGAGAATGGACTTGAGGACACAGGCGGGAGGGGGAAGCTGGGGAGAAGTGAGAGTAGCATCAACATATATACACTACCGAATGTAAATTGGTTGGTGGGAAGCAGCAGCATAGCACAGGGAGATCGGCTCAGTGCTCTGTGATGACCTAGACGGGTGGGACAGGGAGGGTAGGAGGGAGACGCAAGAGGGAGAGGATATGGGGACATGTGTATGCATATGGCTGATTCGCTTTGTTGTGCAACAGAAACTAATACGGTATTGTGAAGCAATTATACTCCAATAAAGTTCTATTAAAAATAATAAGTAAAATAAAAGTAATCAGTGTTCTTTAAATTTATGATCAGCCAGGTTTATTTTTTTTCTGAAATCACTGTGCATACCTGTAGGCAAGGCAAGGTAGTGTAATAGGATTTTAATGCATGTTAAATTTAATAATCAGATAAGCGGACATACACTATGTTTTGTAGCATTTATCTAAGTAATAGGTTGGGTTCTGGATGCTTTTAGACGTTCTTCATTCAATCAAACAACAGTATTTTGAGGAAGTCAAGACAAAGAATTAAAGTGACTATTATGAGTCCTTATTCCAGGATTTTCTGCCTCCAAGTACAGTTATCTCTATTTGTTTTGTTTTTATTGACATATAGTTGATTTACAATGTTGTGTTAATTTCTGCTGTACGGCAAAGTGATTCAGTTATACATATGTATACACATACATCCATGTATATTATTTTCCATTACGGTCTATTATAGAATATTGAATATAGCTCGCTGTGCTGTACAGTAAGACCTTGTTGTTTACCTGTTTTATATCTTCGGGTTTTTTTCTTTTATTTTTTTTGGCTGTGCCATGCAGCTTCCGGGATCTTAGTTCCCCGACCAGGGATTGAACTCGGGGCCACGACAGTGAAAGCACCGAGTCCTAACCACTGGACCACCAGGGAAGTCCCTCTATTTGTTTTTTAAAATAAACTAAGAGTGACTGAAATATTTTAGAAACTTCCAAAGAAATATTCCTAAGAGGTCGCCATTTTTCACTAAAATTACAATAGACTACAAGGACAGTACTGAAATCACTGTTATTTATGGGAATTCTCTGGCAGTCCAGTGGTTAGGACTCGGTGCTTTCACTGCCATGGGCCTGGGTTCAATCTCTGGGAACTAAGATCCTGCAAGTAGTGCAGCGCGGCCAAAAAGAAAAAAAAAAAAGAAAGAAATCACTGTTATTTTTGGTAAAGATAAAAACGATATTCAAGTCCCCAGTAGACCACAAAATCTTTTTTAAGTTGAAATTCCCTATGACACTATGTAAAAAACACTATTTTTGTTTTCCCCACAGTTCAAACCTCAATGTCCTACATGTGGTAGGTACTCAAGAAATGTTTCCTTAAAGGAAAGAGAATGAATGTAGAAGTGAAAACCATGTATATATTTTCCTTTCACAATGGAGAAATAAAACAAAATCCTCAACTTTGTAGATGGAGAGAGGACAAAAATCCAGCTTTCTTCCCGGTGACCCTATATATGGACACTACTTTCAAAGCAAAGGAAAACCAACCAAAGAAATCGCCATCATGTGGGGCTTACCATGTTGGACAACTGGTTCTCTTTAATGGCTCCCCAGCAATCAGGACGAAGTGGTTTCTCTCAGGATCCTAAAGTCAAGAAAGAGACCATCAAACAATAAACAGCCTTATTTTTGAATGTCTGATTAGGAAGGATACGAAGTTGACATTCGGGCCAAAGGGAGGATGTCCCTAATTCTAAAGATAAATTCCAGAAATATTTTCTGTGCAACGCATGATGTGGAAATGCTTATTCTTTAAGATGTTTGGTAGCAATCAGAACTCAAGAATATGTCCCGAACACCAAGATAATAACCTTCTCTAATAAAGAAGGAGAATTTAAATTAAGATTTTCCTTTAACTAGAAACATCTTTATGACAAACTATGTAATTGACTTGGCCTATTATAGAGCTTATAATTTCCTGCTAAAAATTTAATTTTTAAAAGTGAAGATTATTTATGCAAATCCAAAAGTAACATTTTATTACTTTTGACATTTATTACTATTAATGTAAAATATGCCCCAGAAATGTTGCACTAAATGGAACCTTACGAAAACATCCCAGGAGGTTTCCGTGGTGGCACAGTGGTTAAAAATCTGCCTGCCAATGCAGGGGACACGGGTTCGAGCCCTGGTCCGGGAAGATCCCACATGCCGTGGAGCAACTAAGCCCGTGAGCCACAACTACTGAGCCTGCGCTCTAGAGCCCCCGAGCCACAACTACTAAAGCCCGCGTGCCTAGAGCCCGTGCTCTGAGAAGCCACCGCAATGAGAAGCCTGCGGACTGCAACAAAGAGTAGCCCCCGCTCGCTGCAACTAGAGAAACCCTGCGCACAGCAACGAAGACCCAATGCAGCCAAAAATGAACAAAAAAATAAATAAATTTATTTTTTAAAAAATCCCCAAGATACCTGCTCAGGCAAATTTCTCTCCAAAAGGGTCCTATTGTGTTAAAGTCTCTAAAAGTTTTTGTTTAGAATTAAGATGAGGTTTTTTTCCCTGAAAGTGAAAACAAAAATTAATTATTAAACCCAGCAGTAGTGTGGCTGCAGGGAAAGATACACTTTTCTATATATCATTTGGGAGATTTTAAGTGGGTGCTGTAATCCTTCTAGAGAGCACTTTGACAATATGACTTCAAGCCCTCCTAATCGCTGATGTCCTCTGACCCAGTAATGCCAGAGAAACCAGCAGAAGAACCTCCCATCACACTTGTGATAATATAAATATGTGATAATATATTATATGCTCCTACTCATATAAAGCTCTTTAATTAGAAATAATTACAATGTTACTAGTACCAGAAGATTTATCACTGGATTCAATTAACATGAAGCATATGATGAACGAAGTCTTTAATCTTCCATGTAGTTAGAAATATTTGTATCTTACAGAACCGACATTTATTTCTCCTTCTGCCTCTAACTTTAAAAAATTAAAAGGGAATTTAGGGTCGAATGGTTTCTGCAAAAGTCTTAATTTACTTACTCCCTACAGTCCCAGGGCTGTGCATTTAGTACATCCACCCAGTGGATGCTTTAATCATTTCTTCATGTTTAAAAAACATCTGTTTAACCATTCCCAGGCCTGTATTTATTTACACATCACCTTATGTATCCATAACCCAATTTGCTGTCAAAATATGCCAATGTGAACTCAGCTGAAAATCAAAGAGTAAGCTAAAAAGGCTTCTGCTAATTCAAATTTTAAAAACAGATGTCATAAACCCCATGTACTAAAGTTTAGTCTTTTAACCTTAGTACAGACCCTCACTCAATCTCCACTTATTCTCACATTATACACAACATTAATAATTAAGCTTTGCGGTTATCAGATCCATGAGATTCAAAGCTAGAAGACAGGAAAGCACTACTATACAGCAATACATGGAAATGGACAGCTCAACATCAATTATGGAAATTAAACACACACCAAAAAAAACTATGAAAAACAGGCACAGAAGCTTAAAAATTAGTCTAGGACCACTTACTGTAGTAGCCAGCAGGCCCTAAAGACATCGTCACACTTTATAGCTCAGGACAGTAATTAATATACATGCTGATGACCCAGTGTTATGAACAAGTTAAACTGTGCATACTACTATGCAATAGCCCAACAGTGCCCAAGAAAGGGGAAGGTTTCTACCTAAGGGCTTTGAAGGGGTGGAATTTCAGTTGCGAATCAAATGACATATTCAAGAAAAGTATCTTAGAAAAATAGTTCTGATCGCTGGTGCTACACCATTTATAATTTAATCTGAGGGAAGACATCACTAAAAAGTGTTTCGAGGTGCTTGGTTTTCGAGGGGATAAACACTTGAGTTCTAGGGTCAGGAGGCAGAGGAGAAAGGGTCGGGGGTCATGAGAGAAGGGGAAAGGAAAGGCCTACCTCCTTGTGCCATGGGTGTGCGACTCCTCAGAATGTAAGTTTCTTAATTCAGAAGATGTGTCTTTTGTGAGTGACAAACGTGTCCTACAGTTTACACAGTTTGGAATAATAATAAAGTGTTCAAAATACAAGTTTTGCTCCTTTTGATATTACTCAAATCAAATGATGACTTTCATTTATAAGTCAGACAGTAGGATAAAAGGACACTTGCATTTGGACTGAAATGAAAAATGATTCAACTGCTGGGTGCTGAGTTGTTTGGGAGTTCGGCTTTCCATTTCAGAAAGCTGAAGGTTGGAAGTGAGCCAGAAACAGAAAAACAAATATTGCTTGCATGTGGAATCTAGAAAAATGATACAGATGAACTTATCTGCAAAGCAGAAATAGAGACACAGACACAGAGAACAAACGTATGGATACCAAGGGGGAAAGGGGGGTGGGATGAATTGGGAGATTGGGATTGACATATATACACTACCATGTATAAAACAGATAAATAAGAACCTACGGTATAGCACAGGGAACTCTACTCAGTGCTCTGTAGTAACCTAAATGGGAAAAGAATTTTAAAAAGAGTTGGATATAAGTATATGTATAACTGATTCACTTTGCTATACACCTGAAACTAACTCAACATTGTCAAGCAACTATACTCCAATAAAAATTAAAAAAAAAAAAAAAAAGAAAGAAAGAAAGAAAGCTGAAGCCTGGTCCAAGCTTCTCTGAATGATTTTTTTTACAAAATTAACCTCTGCCTGGCCCCTTCCCCTCTAACCTAAGCCAGATGTTTTGGGTCTTTTTCTTTTTTCTTAAGTGCATCCTTTTTCCTCCCTTAACTAGCCTTCTTTGGTGAAAGCTGATCATCTTTCTGGATATTCAGTAGAGTGCTTTTGTGGCTCCAAGTCCCGAATGTTGCTATCTTGAAAAGTCCTCCTCTATGGCGACCTTGGGTACAGTGTCAAATGATGAAAATCAGGCCAAAGCAAAGAGAAAGACAGACTTGCTTAAGATCATGAGACCCTGTGTGGATCTAAGTCAGGGGTTTAGGCCCTGTTAGGTTCTGATGAAGAGACCCTCACACAAAGGGAACAGAAGTTCACTTACTGCTTCATGGACAGTTGCCCCAACTGAAACTCACGATCTTTTGGGGCCCAGACCATGTTTTTCACTTTGGCACACCTTCTCAGAGTTCCTAGTTTCGAGTCAGGCCCTTCTGGGTTTACGTAATAATTTACTTTTACAAATTGCTCTTTCTTATTCCATAAATACTGGCAAGACATGTCTTGAGTTCCACTGACACCAACGATAAATGATCGAAGCCCAGATGAAGGTGCTAGGATTTATTTACGGTGTTGATAACTTCTACACTGTGAGTATGTACTCAGAGTTTGATTGATTAATCAGAAATACAAAGCTTGAGATGGCAGTGGGACTCCGAGAAGGAAACTAAGGGCATGCTTTTGCATCAGGAACATTTATTATGGTGAAATATTACCTGAAAACATTATCAGAAAGAAACTGAGCTTTAACAGGACTTAACTGCATGTAATTGTTCTTACTAGACTTGACTGTTTATACTTCTTAGGCCAACTGAAAGAGAAAACAGTGAACTGTTACCAGTTTTTGAAGATGAATGGTTTATTTTATTATGAATTTTTACACATCAGCAAAAAGTTGTCTCTAGCTTTAAAAGGGTGTTTTAGTTGTCTTTTGATCTGTATTTATTTTTATTTTTATTTTTTTGTGGTACGCGGGCCTCCCACCGTCGCGACCTCTCCCGTCGCGGAGCACAGGCTCCGGAAGCACAGGCTCAGCAGCCACGGCTCACAGGCCCAGCCGCTCCGCGGCACGTGGAATCCTCTCGGACCGGGGCACGAGCCCGTGTCCCCTGCATCGGCAGGCGGACTCTCAACCACTGCGCCACCAGGGAAGCCCTCGATCTTTATTTTAATCAAATATGAATCTGTATTAGTTTAATGAATTCCCCATGAATGGTGCCAGTTAAAGAGTATCCTTATTCTCAGGTATGGTTTTGATGGCAGTCAATGAGGAACTGATTGTCTACCTTGACAAACTACACGTAAGTTTGCTAATCCACGAGGCTTAAGACTTTCTCAATAGGACACTAGTATGAACATGAGTTTTAAGCTGAGATCAACTCTTAATATCAAATCCATGTGCTCCTGATCATGGAGCCACCGTGACAACCAGGGTACCGATTGTGGGCCAAAGCAGCACAGGGAGCTTTAACGCTTGAAACAGAGGTTGTTCCAGGGTGACCATTACAGTCCAGGCTTAAATGTCCAGAGGGGCCCAGGGTTGATCCCCATCTCTAAGAACAATGAAAAAGTTAAGGCCATTCTGAAGGCACTGCTGGGGTTTAGGCTTCCTCTAAGAAGTCAGAGAGTCTGGCTTAAAGACTCTTCAATCTAGCACAAACCAAGCCCCCTGCAGTTGCTACCCACCATGGAAGACTTCAGAATACAGTCACAAAAGACAATCCACACTCTGAGTGAAAAAGGTAGGGGTCCCTGCAGCCTAATATGTGCTGGTCTAAGACGAGTCAAATGCTAAAATGGAGCCGGGAAACCTGGGGAGAGAAAAGATGTGATCTATCAATACATCAACTCTTCCCTGCCCTCCTTGCCTGCCCTGGAGGACTGGCCATTCTAGAGGAAACTTCCCAGGCTCCTGAGCCACCAGGAAGACAGGCATGATGGTGAAGACACAGAGTAAGAAGCAAAGAAAGGGCAGGGAGAGCAGTGCCAGAGGGAAGCTGGGGACTATATATCAACTCCTCATTCCTGTCCACAACTCCATGCACATGGGAATAAGGGAGAACTGGGAAGGCACAGCTTCCTTCTTTATTCCTCAGGGTAAGTCTAGTTCCAAGTGAAGATACCGCTGGCCTGGAGCCCGAGTGAATTAGGGTCCTTTAGGGCCTTTGTAGAAACTCATGTGCCCTAAACCTTGGGGCCTAAGGTATAAATCCTCACTAGGTAACACGTACGTGGCATGAGCACCTGTCACATCAGGTGTTTAGATAAGTGACCTTTCCAGCTACCATCATTGGGCACCCACTATGTTCCAGACCAGGGATTAGTAAACTTGTCCTTGTAAAGAGCCAGGGAATAAAGATTTTAGGCTTTGTGGGCCATCCAGTCTCTGTTGCAACCACGTAGCTCTACACTGTGGTGTGAAAGCATCCACAGACAAACAGAAATGAATAGGTGTAGCTGGGGTTCAATAACCCTTTAGAAAAAGTTTAAATCTAGCCTGTTGGGCATAAAGTACTGATCGCCATTTCTGTAGGTCAGAAGTGGCAGTTCCATACAGTTCGACCTAATTATAGTGAGCACAGACCCTGAGATACGCATTTCCTCTGGAGCTCATGGGGTTTTGCTTCGCCTTACTTCACTGCTCCTGGAGGTACTGCAGAGGATTAAAGCAGCAGTAGGGGAGCTGTCAACAAAGTGGGTTAAGATACAATCATTCCTCACATCCACTGCATTCTACCCCACCAGGGCCGGAGGGCTGGCAGTCAGTCAGATGGCCTCTCTGCCAGTCACCTGCATGCCAACACAGTTTTCATCCCTACTTTTCAAAATTCATCTTTGCAGGAGCTTCTGCACAACTGTCTCTTCAATTCTCCTTATTAGAATGTCACAAAGTGGCCAGATGGGTTTAATAGGCTCACAAGACGGTAAGCGAACAGTCCAAGGGAATGAAGGAAGGAAGGAAGGAACACAAGGAAGAAACCTGGCAACCTGGATTAAAAAAAGCTCCTTGGACTCCTAAAATATCAGAAACTTTACTTAAAAAGCAAGGACTCAACACAAAAGGACTACAAAATGGATCATATGTTCCTCTCAGTTCAACGTGAGGCTGACTTTCAGAGGGCTCCATGGGAATATGTGTGTAGATCTATATTTATACCTCTAAAGGGCTGATCCATTTTCCCTTATGCTAACGATAAAATCAGTCAATTGTATAAAGAAAGAAAAAGTGAGAGACAAGGAAGAGCTGCCTTCAGATTCAAGTTTCTAGGGGTAAACAATACAGACTTTCAATGATTCCTAAAGATGACGAATCAGTGTAGATAAAACCCTAAAATAAACCGGTAGAAATAACAGAAGTTAATGAAAGGGGCTGATAAACTTGTGGCATAGTTTCTTTCCCGGAGGAAGAGAAAAAATTTTCCAGGTACACAGGAGATTTCGGCACTTTCCTGGAAACTAGTAGAAAGTACAAGTTAAGAAAATTAAAGCAACCTAAGTGCCCATCAACAGATGAATGGATAAAGAAGATGCAGTACATATATACAATGGAATATTACTCAGCCATAAAGAAGAACGAAAGTTTGCTATTTGCAGCAACACGGATGGACTTGGAGGGCATTATGCTAAGTGAAGTAAGTCAGAGAAAGACAAATACTGTATGATACCACTTATATGTGGAATCTAAAATGTACAACAAACCAGTGACAAAAAAGAAGCAGACTCACAGACACAGAGAACAACTAGTGGTTACCAGTGCTGGGGGAGGGGCAAGACAGGGGTGAGGGATTAGGAGGTACAAACCACTGGGTGTGAGGTAGGCTCAAAAGTGTATTATACAACATGGGGAATACAGCCAATATTTTTTAATAACTGTTAATGGAAAGTAACCTTTAAAAACTACATTAGGGCTTCCCTGGTGGCACAGTGGTTGAGAGTCCGCCTGCCGATGCAGGGGATGTGGGTTCGTGCCCCGGTCCGGGAAGATCCCACATGCCGCGGAGCGGCTGGGCCCATGAGCCATGGCCGCTGAGCCCGTGCGTCCGGAGCCTGTGCTCCGCAGTGGGAGAGGCCACAACAGTGAGAGGCCCACGTACCGCAAAAAAAAAAAAAAATTACATTAAAATTTTTAAATGCAAAAAAATGTTTGAAAAAAGAGAATTAAAGATTTTTAATACTTAACCTTGTTCTCCACCTGGACACTGTCACCTTCCCCCAGCACAGCTGTGTGATGAGGTTCTATTTTTTGTTGTGTGTCATCAGGTCCTACAAAAAAGACAACCCACTTAATTCAGTCCTCATGGTAGTACATTTCTCATACGATTACAAACTTGGTTAACTACACGGCACCATAATATGAATTTCAAGTTCAGAAACAACCAACTTAGGAATCTCCTGAAATCTCTTGTTGATGGTATTTGCTATTATTAAAGTCCAAAACTGGCTGCTTTCCAATGCAGAAAAGGACAAGGAAGTGAATCCTGTATTATGTTTCCACTTACACTTTCAATGTCATGCCTAATAGGTTAATTAATAAGCAAAGTCCTTGGCATTACATGCTAATAAGAGTGTTTCCTTGGGTCAATTATAAACCTCAAAAGATTTAAGCATGCTTAGGAAAATTAGTAAATTCCATCATTAATTCCTTTCCACAAGTATTTATTGAACACCTACAACTAACTGCCCAGCACTGTGATAAAATGCAAAGAAGTGCAAAGGCGATTCCTCACATACAAATAACTCAAAATCTCACTGAGAGAAACTAAATATATATTCATAAAACAGAGACTAATTCAACTGGAAAACAGGTAAGTTGGACAGCTAGTGAACAACAGCTGTGGAACTATGTACAAGGCCCTCTGCTGAATGCTGCAGGAGTGGGGAGGTTTCAGGATAGATATAGTTCCATCCCTTCTATATTAAGGCTCACAGATGAAACAGAAAAAATAATACAAATGAAATTGTGTGTTAAAGGCAACAAGAAAGGAATAAACAAAGTTCAAAGAGAGAACAGGGACTGCAGAGCTCTGCAGGATCAGATAGACAGATAAAAGGCAAAGCTAGGATAAAGGGTGCTCTAGACAAGAGGACAGACTGTGCAAAGGTGAGGGGCTGGCAACGTGCAGGGCATGCCCGGGTGAACCTTCTATCATTGCTGGAACATTCTTCTGGGAGGAATGATGGCAATGCACACTTGCTTCAGGTCAAGGGAAGACATGAAGGCCATGCTTATCCGTATAAAACGGAGGACCTCTGAGGAAAGGGGGTGTGTGGGAAATGGTTAGATCTCTGTTTTGGAGAAATAAAGCAGAGCACAGAATAAATTGGAGAGGGCACGACTGAAGTTAGGATGACCTGTTAGGAGTTTACTCTAACAGTCTCAGTGGAAATGAATTCCAGTCTGAACTGGGAGAGTGGACACAGAAAGAAAGGAATGGGTTTGAGAGGTGGAGTGGAGAAAGAAAGATTGGGCAACAATGGGGGAGAGAAGAGCCGAAGAACACGATTCTCCCTAGAAGCAGCATCATGCAGCGGCCTGAACGGCCACAGCAGGCGGCAGGTGGGACGTGGCTGGGCCTTGCAGCTGACTGAAAACCAGACACGTGAACAGACAACAGAGAGAAGACTCCGGGCAGGCTGAGAAGCCTGTAACCATGTCTGCATGACATTCTGGACTATAACAAAAAAAGGGCATTCACCTGACACGATACAACTAAAGCTGAATAATCAACATGGAAGGACTTATTTAAGCAAAAGCAGTAGCTTGAGGAATTACCATATAAACATAATTTGTGAATTTTGTGAATACTGACTGGAGTTCAAACATAGTCATATTTTCTAGAGAAGGCCTTCCTTACACCTCCACTTTGGAGATAAACCTACATGAAGCAACAGGGTTCATTCTGATGCTTGCACACGTGAAATAGGATTCTAACAGAGAACTTCTTAACCTGGAGTCAATGTGTTCCCAAGGGGTCCATGGATAGAATTCAGAGCAATCATGGACTTGCATGGGAGACAAATGACATCTTTATTTTCACGAACACCTAACTGAAATGTGGCCTTTCTTTCAGTCATGACTGTAGCCAGAAAACCACAGCAGTATTAGCTGGACCAATGATTTTGTTTCCAGTAGAAATCACGGATATTTTCATAACACATTAGCATTGTAAAGATCTCAAAATAAGTTTATGTTAATCACTACTTAACAATTTAAAGTAGACCTGCTTCTGGATCACGTTATTTCAAATGTCATCAGAGAAGCACATGTGGAACTGTATCACAGACTTGTTCTTTTAACCTTTTAATGACACCACTGAATTAAAAAAAAAACCAAAAAACATTGTTCAGAGGTGGGGCCTTGGCAAATGCCAAAAGGGTTCATGGCACAAAAAGCTTAGGAACTTGTGTCTCAGAGGCAGTGCTGTGCTAGTTAACGTTTACCAACTGGCTTTCGGGGACAAGGGGAAAAACCAACCTGATTTGCACTGTGTGCCAACTTCCGTGCTTTAAATGCTCCCGTTGTGGCCAATTTCAAGCTACCAACCTGAGGCCAGGGAAGAGGTACACAACCTGCTCCAGCAAGAGCGAGCCCCAGCACATCACTGAAGGTTTCTCCTCCCCCAAGGATTTAGGTTAACAGATGTCACGGCAGTGAATGATAGAACTCCGCTCATTTTCCACTCATGCAAGGATGTGGCCATAAAAAGAGGAGTCTCGGAGTCTAATAATCATCTCATTTAGATTGGGGTAATATTTTAAACTGTGAGATAAAGCAGCATTTTATTAAGTGTGCTTTACTGAGATTCCCTGGGAGCAATGAACCATGTCTTTATCTTCAATGAATTCATATGTAACACCCATTACCCATGTGGTCTACCCCTGACCCCTAATTTTATCATGTAGGATGTTTTATGATACAGAGACCAAAATGATTTATAAAGCCCCTTCACTATGTTTTAATGGAGTGAGCTGGCAAGAGACAGCTCTCAAAAATAGTGCTGAACTGGGATTTCTCTGCACCTCCTATCAGGGTAGCTTGCTCGACTGCCAGTCATTGGTCTATGAGAAAACCTGAATTTAGAAACAGAGTTCATGTTTCCCTAAGAGCTCTCATTCTAATTTTATACGGAATGCAATTTCCGCTCATTCTACTTGCTGAACTAGGAGAGGAATCATAGTATTGATTCTGAAGAGGTCATTTGAAATGCTCCACCGTAAGGCAAACTTTTTTTTTTTTTTGCGGTACACGGGCCTCGCACGGTTGTGGCCCCTCCCGTTGCGGAGCACAGGCTCCGGACGCGCAGGCTCAGCGGCCATGGCTCACGGGCCCAGCCGCTCTGCGGCACGTGGGATCTTCCCGGACCGGGGCACGAACCCGTGTCCCCTGCATCGGCAGGCGGACTCTCAACCACTGCGCCACCAGGGAAGCCGGCAAACCTTTTTTATAGACACTGGAAAGTCAGGTTTTTAAGATTAATCATTCTAAGTGTACCTTTAGCTTCTGTATTATTTTATAAAATGTTTAAAGCAGGATCACAGAAAGCAAAGATTGATTCCATCTTCATGTCATTTCTATGCTGTTGCAGCCATCTGGTTATCTCCTGAACCTGAAATAAGTCTCAAAGAAGATATATTTTATTGGTTCTGACTACTTTCACTTATAAATCGAGCCAAATCAGATAATAAATAGTTTCCATTGGGAAGCTTCGCCAAGAAGTTAAATCTAATAGTACAGTTAAGGAAAATTTAACTGAAAACAATTGAATTGCAAATATTTTTGTTTGCGTAAACAGTCATGAAAGGGCAAAATACTTTAAAACATTTTAAAGTTAGTGCTGCATCTTCAGTGTGTGGTTTATTGCTGTGAAACTTCTCCCCATACACAAGATTTCCTTTTTCTTCTTCTCTTTTCAAGAACTACTGTCCCATTTACCCTCTATTCCGTACATTCTGGTACTTCTATCACAGGTTTTGATATCATCAATTTTGTATGTACAGCTGAAGCCTTCTTTATCTGATGCAATCCGGATCATTAATTGAAAAAGATTAAGCTGCCTCCGACATTTTACTTTAAATTGTAAATGTGCATCCATTTGCCAATTCTTAGAAACTGGATTGAAGCACGGCCTTTCTTTATAAAGCATACCCATAATGCACCACTGAAATCCTTCTAGATTTTCAGAGTTTCCCCTAATCTTTTACTGTCATCTCTGCCATACGAATTCTAAGAGTTTTCTTTAGCAATATACTTTTACAAAGCATTTGACTTTGGTTGCTCTAGAAATACAAACTCTTTTCAAGCTTATTTCGTTAATTCAAATATTATTTAATTAAATCGCATAATTGCAATCATTGGTGCAACTGGCATAAAGAGATTACAGAACAATCACACCTGCCTTTAAGTCCACTTCAACTTGCCAGGGGGAGTAGCAGGGGGCAGGTGGACCAGGGGAGCCGATCATCCTGGGCGTTCTGGCACCTCATTCAACGTATTCCGCATGGGATGAGGCGCACTGCTTAGTCCAATTCATTTTGGGTAAGTGGAGGTCAACTCGGAGGGCTCCTAGCGTGTTTCCCCACCTTTACTGAGATCCAGGGGCTGTGTCAAACTTTTTAATAACCCCCAGAACCAGAAGCAAAGGGCAGACCACAGTGAGCATGAATAATTACTTATTCAAATAAGTTTGAAACATTTTACCACCCACATAAGCCAGTTAGTTGTCATCTCAATAACCACAAATATTTTTAGATTTCTAAATATATTTTCTAAGCCCCAACAGTATATATGATACTGGTTCTTCTAAGGGACTGGCACGCAAGCTGATAAACTGCCCCAAGCTTCAGGGACACAGGATACAAACTCCTGTAGCCTGTTGATCTCTGTGTTGATGTGTAATGTCATTTTCATCTCAGCTGCAGGGAAGGGGTTTAGAGCTAATATCCTTGGGATCTACTGGTTTTCTGATCATGTTGTTTTATTTTCTTGTTTTTTTCTTAAATCATATACTGCATAAGATTTCAGCCGGGGGCTGAAAGGACTTGTTGCCTCAGAAAAAGACTGCTGTCAAAGGTCTTTCTCCTGCACAATTTTTAAAGCTACTATTCAACAGTCAGAAGGCTTGAAAAAAAACACAGTGTATCAAAAATTAAGATGATCCTGGAAATCCATAAAACATCTCAAGTAAGTACTCTTAAATAAGGAAGTACTAATTCTGTTTGTCTTATTTTAGTTCTGTTAATTCCTTCTCTTCTTCAGGGTGTCGTTAGTGGAAAATTACGTGACTTCACTATACGCACCATGAACTTAAAAATATCTAACTTAGACAACTAGTTAACGTCCAGCATTTTCTAACGTTCAAAACTCCACCTGTCCTTACAAAACTAAATCTACTGATGTCCATCTTTTAAGTTCTTCCTGTGTCAATTAATATTTTTTTTAATTTATATGGCTGTGCCAGGTCTTAGCTGTGGCACATGGGATCTTCATTGCCACATGCGGGATCTTCATTGTGGCACGCGGGATCTTTAGTTGCGGCATGCGGGATCTTTTTTGTTGTTGTTGTGGCATGTGGACTCTTAGTTGAGGCATGTGGGATCTAGTCTCCTGACCAGGAATCGAACCCAGGGCCCCTGCACTGGGAGCATGGAGTCTTAACCACTGGACCACCAGGGAAGCCCCAATTAATATTTTTAACAGTCATCCTAATCTCCACTTATGGACTCTCCCCAGACTACTTTCTCAAGCCAAATTGCAGTCCCTTTATTCCAGCCCCATACATTAAATACATATTTATAATATCTATTTCAACAGAATGGAGGTACATGACATTGAAGACAATTACTTGCTTATCAGTTCCTGCCATCTGTGGTTGCCTGCTGCCATCCTGGTTTTATAAGCAAGATAAAATTGAGGCAATAAATTCAGAGAGCATTTTTTGGATTCTCTCCATAGACTGATAGGTCAGTACACATTCAATAGCTATTTCTGCTTTGTTGTTTCTTTTTTTCTGGTTCCTTTTGTTTTTCTCATTAATATCTCCATTCGGGGGTCAAGAGGAGGAAGGGAAGGAGATGCAATTCAAATGAGGTCACCTGGCCAGCTATTCGTTGGCTGAAGCAGGTTCCCAAGAGGGCAGTTTCGTGAGCTAGATTCTCTCCATGGTCCACTTTACCCTGGGCAGATGCAAGTTTGCTCCAACACTACAGACCGTGACCCCATTTCCTGCCAGATGTTTTGCACTTGTGGCTCATGGTCATGAGAGGTGACCAGGCCAGTGAATAGGGATGACTCAGGAAAATCCTGCCTCACCTCGAGAAAAACAAGTGGATGTATAAGTCATTCTTACCCCTCGAACCACTGACCTTTTCACTTGTTAAATTCTTGGACTAAAGGTCTGTCAGGAAACAAGGCTCTAACTACTGATTCAAAGAGGGTTTGAAGATTATTTGTTAATCTTTCTCCCCTTCAACCTCTACAATGTCATTTAAAGTGAAGGGGCTCAGAACGAGACTCCCCAAGATGTGCCACTTTGGCACGCAGATTGTTTTCAGCTGAAGACAGTCAAGGCCCAAAAGACTCGGGAAGAGCTTCCAACCACTCTCTTAACTACCTTGAAGAATTTAGATAAGGGGCCTGGTTCAAAGAGAGAGCTATTACCAGAGATAACTTTCATCTGAATGACCTACCCGGCTGGCCGGGCAAACATCTAATTACCAAACATCTGCTCTTGTCTCCCGTGAATTACCCTCCTCCCCTTTGAAGCCTCAGGTCCCTATGTCATTCTTTAGCTCAGGATGGCATCTGCCCAACTTGCCCTTGGGTCTCATATTTTACGGGACCCCTGTACCTATGTAATTAAGTTTGTTTTTCTCCTGTTAATCTGTCTCATGTCCATCTAGCTCATAGCCCAGCCAGAAAGAACCTAGAACAGTAGAGGAAAAATTTTTCCTTGCCTATAAAACCAAAATCAAATGTGAGCTTTTGTAGAGCCCACAAGCTAAGAAAGGTTTTTATGTTTTCAAATGGCTAAAAACAATCCCAAGAGTAGTAGCTCATGACACATGAAAAATATATGAAATTCACATTTCAGTGGCCATAAATCAACTTTTATTGGAACAACCGTCCCAATCATTTATGTATCACCTGTGACTGCTTTTGTGCTACAAAGGCAGGAATGAGTCACTGCGACAGAAACTGTATGGCCCGCAATGACGAAGACAGCTGCTGTGTGGCCCTGTCCTTCCCCACTCTACACATTTCTGGTATCCTCACCACCTCACAATCCATGTGCTTTATTACTTTCCATTTGTGCAGATTATTTTATTTCTCTTGAAATCCTAAGTCAGGGGTGCTACCTCCATAAAAATGGCTTTTACTCCATTTTAGGAAGTACTCTGTGATAACCAAGATTTTCAAAAGATCATAAAAACAAATGACGCTTCATCCCTTCCAGATGGTTAATATAGTTTAAAGTGTGTGCCCACGGACTTGTGATACTACTACTAAATTGTTTTCACAATTTCTCAAATGCTGAAATAAATGAATTTTGCTTCTGAGTCATAATTGAAATGCTAATCAATGAAAGAGGAACTAAGCCCATTTCTGTGGTATAAAATCAAAATACACGAGCTTGTGGTACCACTATTTTTCAGAAGATTAATTTCAGGCAATTAAACTGCCCTTCTGGAGAATATAAAGAATGCTTTAAATGGCTTCCGGCGTAGCCTTCAAGCCCTCAGCAGACAGTATCAGTGAGCCAGCTGTCTGGGGCTGGGAGTGTGTTGTCCAAGGAAATAGCCACGCTAGGGCAGCAAGCTCACTGCAGAGGAGGCTACCCTACAGGTTGGGGTAAAGAGCTCCAACCACAGAGGGCCTCAGAAATGGGATTCTTGGCCCGTAGCTTCGAGCAGTCAGATGCTCTGCTCCATCCCCCTCACCCCGTCCACACCACCCATCACGGCCATGAGGGGCAGGGAAGGGGAGAAGGGAGGCTGGTTCTCCTACTGTAGGTTTTCCCAGAAGCACTGCCTGAGGTGCATATTTGAGTCCAAGGAGTTTATCTGGGAGGCAGTCCCAGGAAACACCAGTCCAGGAGTTGGGAAAGTTAGACAGGAAAGGGAAGGCAGACAATGAAGGATGTGTTACCAAGGACGCTCACATGGGTAGTTTGAACATAACGCCTCCAGGAGACTCTAGGAAAAGGCCTCACACACAGGCCTCAGCGTTATCCCACCTGAGGGGCAAGGCAGCTTCCTTAGCACTTCCATCCTGCCCTGTCTGGGGCAGAGTAGCCTTCCCAGGATTCAGAGAAAGCCTCAGGCCAAGAAACACAGGTACTACTGGCAGTTGGAAGTTGGTCAGTGGGCCCTGACAAACCTACAGCGACCTTTCCTGGCCTCCATGCTGCTTCTAGGAGGATGGGGAGAGTGGGAGTAGATACAGGCAGGAGCCAGCCTACTCTACAAGGTCCACTCTCCCACCACTCCTGGCTCTTCTACTGCTGGGTTGGCTGAAGGGTTTAGGCTGGAAAAGACAAGTTAGATGGTGTGGTTCCTGTGTTGTCATCGTACAAAGGATATGGGGTGGGGCACAGGGAGTGGAATTGACAAGCCCTTGGTTCTGGTCCCAGGTCTACCAATGCATAATTCTGGCAAGCTGAATAACTCTCTAGACTTTACATACCTCATCTATAAAAAGAGAGTTGACTGGGTCTCAAACATCCCTTCTAGACTAGACTCAACAAGTGACACACGCACAACCCCTTGGAATAAAAGGAAACCGACTTAGAGATTTCTCAGAAGCACCTGGAACTGCAAATTCACCTCCTTCCACCTCCCAGGAGATAGTGTCCTGCTCCCCCGGCAGCCCATTAAAGCTCCATCCCTTTATCAGTATGGGGCTTGCCAACATCCTAGCAAGGTGTCAACCCACATAATTGCGCCGGGACCTTACATTTGCACACAGGCCACAGTAAAATGGCTGCTGTCATGTGTGGTGTTCCTATTCTCCTCCCTCACTGGATATACTGGAAGCTGAGAGGTGCCCTGCCCTGGGTGCACCAGGATGTACAGGAGGCTGGTGCCGAACAGGAGCAAACATAGTATTCAATTACACGAAAGGTTTCACCTTACCTTTCCTTCCTGGCAGTAGTTTAAATGACATTGCAATTGAACCCAAAGCAACAGACTCATCACTTACCAATATACACATTTCCAGATATGGTATAAATGAAGCCTGTCCACCCTGAAAAGGGACCAGCGACATTAAAAGGTTAGTGTCCATAATGCCAAAAGGAACAAAGACATAACAATATCAAATATTTAATACTCTACATATGACATACAAATATATAAACTTATATAAGTTACAGATACAAAAGGTTTGAAGATGAAATCTTTTAGATATACATACATTTTAAAACTTAAGTTCTGTAAACAGTTTTAAGCACAGTCCCACATGCATGCATTCACACACAAACACACCCCCCCCTCCCAAAACCTAAATGAATTGGCCTCAAGTATTTAAGAGCCACCCAAGTAGACAGTGTGCTACTCACTGGCTATATATCTATATGCCAACAGCTGTACTAACAAACAAGCTGTTCCTTCCAGGTTGAACATCATGTTAATAACTACAACACACCAGTGTGGCTTATCTTCAGTTCCTTGGGCCTCCAAAGAGTTTTTTTTTTTTTTGGCTGTATTGCGTCTTCGTTGCGGTGCGCGGGCTTCTCATCGTGGTGGCTTCTCTTCTTGTGGAACACGGGCTCTAGGTACGCGGGATTCAGTAGTTGTGGCAGGCGGGCCCTAGAGCACACAGGCTTCAGTAGTTGCAGCACGTGGGCTCAGTAGTTCTGGCTCGTGGGCACCAGAGTGCAGGCTCCTCAGATGTGGCGCACGGGCTTAGCTGCTCCACAGCATGTGGGATCTTCCCGGACCAGGGCTTGAACCTGAGTCTCCTGCATTGGCAGGCGGACTCCTAACCACTGCACCACCAGGGAAGTCCCCTCCAAACAGTTTTAAGTGACAACCCACTATGTGCCCTCTTGGAACGAGCACTGGATTTCCATGGATATTTATGTATTGTCCCTATGGCCCAGAGGAGACGCTGCAGCGCCACTGAGGGACGTGAATGTAGGAATGGCCAGCTCAAAACAGAATCAGAACATCACTCCGTGTGCCTTTGGGAGAAAAGAAGATCTGCGAAGGGAATGCAGGGCCAAGTCCAAGGTACAAGGGCAGGACCCAGACTGGAGTCTGTGAGAGAGTCAACATGGTGGCAGAGTAAACAAAACCAAGGCAGGCATGGAAGAATCACAGAGGACAAAGTAGACTCTAGGCATGTGGCTGTGCTGGCAGGTGGGTTGAAAAGTGCAAGAGGGGCCCACGTGATAAGGCATGACTGATCAAACTTAACATAAACTGAGTCTGGTTCGGAAAGCCTGAAGAATGGCAAAACAAAGACAGACACTCAGGTGGACGCCAGACGATAATTTTTTCATCCTCCTATTTCACACTTTTTCCTCCCTGAGATTTTACGAGAATGAGTGTAAGGGCTCTGGAATTAAGTCTAAATGCTCAGAGCACACTCGCTCTTTTGCTCCCTTACTGACCCACTGGCTCAGTCTTCTGAGCTTGGCCTCCCATCATCCAGTGACCAGCTACCACTCAGATGTACTTGTTGTGGCTGGAGACAGAAAGACGAAGGCACAGCCAGGGGTCTTCACATTGTCCAATTTGAGGGGACAGAGGTTCGTGCCAGATGCTGAAAACACATGCTAACTGTTCCCAGCCCGTAAATATCATTAGGAATTCGGTATCTGTGTTTTCAGTTTCTTTTCTCTTTTATGCACTATATATTATTTGCTTAAAAACTAGAACTCAGTGTTCTATTTTGGATACCTTTCCAAAACACAGAGAAATAATTCATCCTTGGGAAAGACTGCAAAGCATTCCATTGCAAGGACGTGTTGTGACTGACATAATCGATCCTCTCCTCATGGTTGAAAGGTGTTAAAAAATTAATGGTTTCCAAGTTTGACAGAACGTCAAAGCTCTCAATTGTTCAAGTGGGTTTTTATTTGGAGTCATTTTGATTGTTCTCAACTCATTTCTCCTCCACCGCCTTTGCTTCATTCCTACTCACCCTTCAAGCAGAAAACTAGTCTACACATAATTGCCTCGGTCTGTTTTCTTTCTCTTTTTATCTTTTTAAATCTTTTATCCAGAAGGACCAAACATTTGCTTAAAGGAATGGCCAAGTCAATGTATTATGTGCATTCCCCCGTTGTTGTTCCTTGCAAAAGTCTTCCATTAGGATACAGACTCCACCTTCACCATCAATAACACAATTCATGCTACTGGCTAGAAGGCACAGAGTGTTACAGGGAATAAAATAGGAACAGAGGGCAATTTCCTTTTTTCCTTCTTTTTATCATGTTGCCTATCTGCACTTGCTTCTATTGAACCTAGTTTAATTCCCACTAAGCATTTTTTCTTAAAGCTATAGCAAAACAAGAGCCAAATCATGTGAATGCTTACTATATGTTTATGAACTACCACATTTTTTTGGAATTCCTTCTCTGCCAAGAGCAGGATTGTATCATCAAAGAGTTCTCTTGTGAGATTTTCAGGTCCTTCTCATCTTTCTTTGTTCCCCTATCTTTCCTCCCACTTTTCTGTCCTGCACCAGGAATGGATACCATCCTGGCATTTTTATTTCTGTCTGAGGTCACAGGCCCTGCGACTGTGGTCTCCAAGCTACTGGCTCTTCACAGCTGGGAAGCTCTTTCCACTCCCTCCCTCAGTCAATGACAACGAAGAGGAGCTGCGATGAAGGTCACATTTACCCGTGGTCCTGTAGCTTGGGTTAATCGGCAACACATTTATGTCAGCCCTCCTTCAGTCCAACAGAAGACGTGGAAAACTTTTCTTTTAAACACGTAAATCATTTTCTGTGGCATTTGCTCTCATTTCCAGGGAGGTTCCCAATTCTTGCAAACATCCCTAGTGAGAGCGTTTCTTGGCCTACATTCCTTGCCTTAACCCAGCTCATTTTCCTTCCCCCTCAGTCTTAAGTTCATTATTTCAAAGAACTTTCCAATGGCTGCTTATATATGTATGTGTAGAGAAAGTAGAAAAACATGACTTGGTGACACGCCAAATCCATGACAAAGGTCAGCTCTGGGTTCGAAAGGGGAGAGGGGAACAGGGCTAAGGAGAGAAGAAACCTCTACCCAAACTCTGGGTCACACCAGAGGCCACACCTCAAAGCAGTGCTGGTTCCTAAGAGCCTCTCCCCAGATAGCTGTGCATTCAGCTTGGGTAGGCAGCTCACTCACCATGGACCTCATGCCTGGCCTCCTGGACAGGAGGCAGACCCACCGGGTCTTCCCTTCCCCCTCCTCATTCCACCAAATTATTTGTTAATTTTCCCTTTGAAATAATTTCAGACATACAGAAAAGTTACAAAAATAGTATAGAGAATTACCATACACCACTCACCCAGATTCTCCAAAAGCTAACCTGTTATCACATATGCTTAAACATTCTCTCTAGAAATATACATCATTCTTTTCCTCTGAAATATTTGCGAGTAATCTTAGAGACATGATACCCTGTTACCTTGAAATAATTTCCTAAAAGCAAGGATATTTTCCAACGTAACCCTAGTCCACTTATAAAAAATATGAAATACAATATCAGTTTAAAAATTATGACCATTAATACAATACTATTAGCTATGTACAGATATTCAAATTGAGCTAGTTGCCTCAGTAATGCTTTTTAGGGCAAAAAGAAAAAAACATGTCTAGGCCAGGATGGAATCCGGGTTCACATGCAGCATTTAGTTGTCATGTCTAATCTCCTTTCACCTGAAATAGCTCCTCAGTCATTTTCTTCATGAAAAGTACAGACCCATTATTTTGGAGAATGTCCCTCAGTTTGGGTTTGTGTGATGTGTGCTCATCATTAGACCACACTGTTTGTTAATCCCTTTCCCTCTCAACTTTAGAGACTGGTTTTTGTTTATTTTCAATACTTTAATATTTTAGTTCAGAAGAGCACAAAGGATGAAACAATGAACATAGACATTGGCATATTTCATATCTTTCTTCTCTTTCACAGAAAAAATCATATAGGTGAGAGAAACAGCCCCTAACTGGTTGCCTCCAGTCAGTTTTCTACAACCAGAGAATGTGACTTTGTTGCAGGAGAAGGGGGCACGAGGGAATGGGCAGTCCCAGGTCTCATCCGAGCCCCTGGGACGGGCTGCCAAGTGAGTGAGCGTCCTTGGCTTCACAAAGGAAGGAATTCAAGCGAGAGCTGAAGTAGAGCGAAAGCAAGTTTATCCAGGGACATATGTGCTCCATAGACAGAGTGCGGTCCATCTCAGAAGGCAAGAGAGGCCTCTAGGGTGTGGGGAGGTTAGATTTTATGGGCTGGGTAATAGGCTAACGAGTGGGAGGAGTATTTCAGCTAATTTGGGGAAGGGGGGGGATTTCCAGGAATTGGGCCACGGCCCATTTTTCTGGCCTTTTGTGGTCCGCCTCGGAACTGTCAAGGCAACTGTGGGTGTGTCATTAACATGCTAACGTATTACAATGAGCGTATGATGAGGCTCAAGGTCTACAGGAAGTCAAACCTTCTGCCATCTTGGGCCTAGTAGGTTCTAACCAGTTTTTGTTGTATGTATCTGCTTCGACTGTCACATCTCTCTCTCTCACTCTGACTCCCATCTCCCTCTTTAATTTATACAGATCCTTAGGATTACATCAGCCCGCTTGGATCACCCAGGCTGATCTCCCCATCTCAAGATCCTTAACTTAATCACACCTGAAGCATCCCCTATACCATGTAAGGTAACACATTCAAAGGTTCCAGGATTAGGTCGTGGACATCTTCGTGGGGCCATTATTCTGCATACCACAGAATAATGTGATAAGCTATATGTTCTCTAAAGAAATTTTGTTAACTGATGTACATATACTCTAAAGAAAAGTTAAAAGTTGAGGGAAGCAAAATTAAGTTTTTCGATACCATAACAATCCTCCATTTTTTAACACTCCAGATCATGCTTTTAAATGCCAAGTAGCAGGGGTACTGTGAAGGAAGATGGAGAAAACAAACAGAGTGCTTGTTGAGGGCCCAACTTTGATGCAGTCAGTCAGAAGACAAAGGGGACAGGAGGACCGGAAGGCACAAGTTTCTTGGCAAAGATTTGATATTTTCCTAGAAATACAGATTTATGTCCTTCTCAACGAATGAGAACACATGGTGTTATCTGTATATCAGTTTGCAGCAAGGGAACTCAGACTGCTTTGCAAGAGATGGTAAAAGTCACTGCAAAAAAACACAAAACACAAAACACAACTACTTATTCTTACTTTAGCCAAGAACCAACATGAAAAATGTGAGAGGAATCTGGTACTGTCAGAGACTCAACAGATTGGATTCTTTGTAAGTGATGCACCATCTAGCTCAATTTCTGATATCAAGTGCCTTCCAAATCATCACTGCATGAAACATCCATTTTCCGCAAGATTAGCACAGCCCTACAGAAATGTGCCTTTGCCCGAAGGAAATAAAGAGATGGTAAAAATCGATCCCAACATTATTTATGGGATGGAATTCAGATAAAACCTGTCTGAACCCATGAGAAATGTTGCCAGTCTCCCTTAACTGGATGTCCCTTGGGACATATGCTTTTTCCTGGTGTCAGAAATGGGATGGTAGCAGTGTATGCCTCTATTTCTATCCCCTTAGTTTGGTAATGATACAAGAAAGTCAACATTAAATTAGTTAGATTGCAAAGCTTATGCCAAAAGCCAAACATAACCCAGACATCCACGTCAAATCCCTTTACCATGAGTAGCAAAACAATCAAAATATTATAAACAAAACATAATCAGGACCCAGCCAATGGGCTACACATTTCAAGGAATATTTGATGCAACAAAGCACTCAAATAAAATGAATTTAGACAGTCCTTGAATTTTATGCTGGAATTTGACCTACAAAGGCGGATAAAAAAAAAAAAAAGACAAAAGGTGAGCTTGACTTGAATGGTTTGATAATAAAATTTGTACAGTATAATTTTACTAGCCAGTATGTTGGGTTACAGGCAGCCAGTACTATTGAGTCTGTAAATAATAAGTGCTTTATAATACCTGAATTAATTGTTTGTCTGGCACTGGACAGGGAAGCCTCAAACGTCAGACTTGTCACCTAACGCAATGAAGGCGTGTATGAGTGTATATGGGGGGGGGGGGG